ACAGTTAGTGAATGAATATTCATAATCATCACAGATATTCCAACTGAGTAGGAAATTCAGTGTCACATTGACATTATTTTGAATGAGAAGAATATGCACAAAGTCTTTGATTCTTATTATGCTCAGGAAAAAACAGGACATTTTTTCTTAAAGTACAGCCAAAAAATGGACTATTGCTTCTCCTGTGGCTGGGTTTTGTTCACAAACGTTTTCCCTCCAAATAATACCCATCTTCCTGTGTTTACATTCATATACCAGCAAAAAACACCCACTAAAGAGCTCCAAGCAGCCTTACAAAGTGTTCTGGCCTCTTTTTGTGGGAAGGTAGTGTTAAAGGGGAGCTTGTTTTGTTTGTGTCTGTGTGCACACATGCATGGAAAAGCTTTTAAACACCACAGATTTGGCTTCTTCTACATTGATCCAAAACCCAGTTTAGCTGTTAATTACATTTATACTAAATAAAGGCCATTGGTCATGCTCATCTCATTTAACATCTCATTTAATTTCACTCCATCTCCACCATCATTCCTGCACAGAATGGCCCTTGCACTGTTACTGCCCAGGTATCCTGGGTGTGCCCCTAACACAACTGCAACATTCTTTGAATTTCTTGAATTTTAATACTGCTTTGGAGATACTTAAATTCCTGTAATGTTTATCCTTCAGCTGCCAATTAAGTCCCAAAACTATTTTTTCCCAACCAAAAGATTAATTTTAATATAAGTCAGTTTATACATGAAAATGTCTCAAAAAGTTGATGAGAAAGAAATCAGAAAGTTTTTACTTGTTTACACAGAAACTGAATTTTAGACTGAGAGTTACAGAATAAACCTTGGATTTAGGGCCCCTTAAACTCACAGTCATTCCTAAGTTTCACCATCTCCCCCACTGTGTTTTTAGAAAGCCTCCATCTTTTGATTTCAGTTGTCCCAGGCCCTGTTAAGCTATAACCATAAAATATTAGTTTTACAATATGCTGTATTTTGCAAACCTTGAAGTAACTTTTGAAAAGCCAAGAAAAAAAAAAAAAAACAAAACCAAAAAAAACCCCAAAACCACCAAAGACACTGTGTTCAAACAACATGGTCAAGTGACTGTTAGAGGTATGAAATTACCGTGCAAAAAGCTGAAGTCGTGCCCAAACAAGAACAGAACCACCACCTTTGGCACATTCAGCATAAAAAAAGACAAAAATAGCCAAAAATATTTAAGAAATAACTTGCTAAAAGGCATAAAAGCTAATACCAAATCCTTCCTGAAGAGGTAAAGGCAGGAAGCCTCCCTGCAGCTACAGGGCCAACAGAAGATCCAATATTTCTTCAAATAATACACAAGCATTGAAAAAAAGCTACAGGAACTTGGGATTACTTTTGAGTACTTGTGTGGTGACATCTTCCCCCAGCCTGCTTTTTTTTTTATGAAGCAGGTACTTAAAGACACTGAAGTTTCAATTGGAGGATTTTAGAACAAAATTAATAAAAATTCAATAATAAAGCCTGCTGTATTATTAACTGTGGCATTTAAACTAAAACTTCCTTTTCCAAGGAAGTTTCTACAAAGGTAATCACAGAATAAAACTATTCCCAGCAAAACTAAAATATCTGGTCTTCTAAGAACAGAAAGAGATGAGAAATCTTGAGAAGTCACCCTGACCTATTAGAACAAATACATCTCTAGTTTATAAAGTCCCAATGTCACAAATTGCCAGAAGCCTGGATGATGCAGTGAAGTTGCTTTTCCCAGTCCTGTACTTTGCCCTGGAGAACTGCAAACACCCTTTATCTGAGACAGGTCACCAACCTGCCTGGAGCTCAGGTTCAACCCAGTGTGTCCATTCCATGTGGATTTCAGTGTGCAGGAGTTTGTACTCTGCCTACTCTGAATTACTATTCCAAACTCTACTTTCCCCACAGCCCAGGTTTTCCCTAACCTGTTCAGTCTCTAGTTGATCATCACTCCCAAGACCCAAAGGCATGAACAGTTTCTCAAGTATGGAGTGCAAACAGTTTACAAAACCTGACCTTCCAAATTGCTTGTATGAAACTGATGCCAAAGAATATCCCTTTTCATGACTGAATATGGAGCCTGATATAACAAACTCTCAAGGCTTAAATTTCTATTCTCAGTGATCACTAAAAAGAAGGTGAAAAGTGTAAACCAGCACAAAAGAGAAACCTTTTATTTCCCAAAGAATTATTCAGCTAAAATGATTTGGTTTAACACACACTAATACCAAATAATTTTGAGGATACTTTTGATAAAGCTTGTGGGGAATTAGAGTTTAACTTTTTATTCAAGATTTTATTTTAATTCCAAAAGTGATTTGATGAGTCAGCTATTCTCTGAAGTCATGTAACAATAAACATTAAACATTACTCAATGCCCACAGCAACCACTGTCTAATTTTATTCTTTTTTTTCTTCTCCCCACAAAACGGAAAAAATTTCCTGTAGAAACTAGTAGATTTGTGCCAAATTCATGACTCAAAGAAAAATTAAAATAAATAGACACGTGAAATTAAAACAACAAAATGCTATATTGTGAAAACCACAGAAATTTAAACTGATTGTAGGTTTCTCTTATGTACATCTTTTAAATACATTTCTATACAGGTGTAAATGTCTGAATGTAAAATGAAACATAAAATGAATGTGCATGTACAGAGTTTTTATTTATACATAGCACGAAAGTTGTATTTATTGCTGATTTTTAAAAAAAAAATGTTAAGACAAAACCTGTTTGGAAACCTCTAAGAGGGGGGTAAAATCACTATTACAAATACAGTCTAGTCTGGGTTTAGTTACATCAAGGGACAGTGGTGATATTCTGTTAAGAAGCACTGCTCATCTTGAAGCTTTCTAAATCAAGGCACCTTATAGAATTCAGACAGTACATTTATTTTCTAAATATTTAACAATGACATATCTTAATGCATTATTCTCTTCCTTGGCCATGGCAGTTTCACCTGAATATTTGCAGATGTTTATGCCCCCATTCCCATGTCTTGTTGAGATCCAGCCAAGCTGCAAGTTCCATTCTTTCAACCTCTCCTACAACTTAATTTTCCATCCCTTTACTCCTTAATTAAATTCACGGTTCACATCGTTGGATGTTCATATTTTAAACAAGAGTCAGGCATCAATACATTTTAGAACTGCACTAAACATAAAGTACATTATAAAATAAAACATTATGAGCTTCTGAAATGGAAAAAAGAATGGTATTGATTACAGAGGAGTTCTCACTTCCTGTAAACATTTCGATCTCGCTCTCTCTCACAGACATACACATACTTTAAAGGAAAACCAGAAACAAGAGTTTAATTAAACACCACTAGTCTGAATTTCAAATCCATGAATGAACAGATGGCCACACTTCACAATCTGCCAGCAGGCCACTCCAATTAACTGGGACTGGGATCAGGGTAATGTCATGGAAGCCAGAAGTTTTGAACCAAAAAAAATCCATATATGGGAATTTGTGACAGTTATAAATAGTATAACATTGAAGTATTTAGGATTATACAAAAGTGGTACCAGCAAAAAGAGAGGAGGCTAATATTTCAGACTATCATTAAATCTAGTCATCTCCTGTGAGGGCACCAGGATGCTTGTCAGTGCTCACATGGACTTCAAATCCAGCTGGCTTGGCAAAGAACAGCTTTAAAGAAGTAAATAAAATCCACTTCAGCTCTTCCACAAACAATCTCTTATATTGGACTTGTGCTCACTGATTAATTAAAACATGGTTCCAAATACTTAAATATATTTGGTTACTCAGTAAGCATTTATTAAGCTAAAATCAGTGTGGTGTCCCTTGAGTAAAATTGTCTTCTGACACTCCTGGGTTCAGTAAAACCATCCCCTGAGTAAGCACCAAAAGGGACATCTGCTTTTACTGACATCAAACTGAAGGGTGAACATCTACACCAATTTTCAACAGTGCAAGGCAGACATGAATACAGGGAAATAAAAGCAACACAGGATATTCCTGATGCTCTTCAGCCTCTCTCAAATTTTAACTCTGCAATCTGTCACCTTGCTCCCCTCACTGTTTCTGCAGCAGGACTCCAGCTCTGCAGTGCCCATGGGATACAGCTGACATTATCTAAATCTGAATTCTGCACGTTTTCCTCACCTCTCCCCACACTGGATGCTGACAACTCTGACCCCTGAGCAGTGGCAATACCATAAATTTTGCAACCTGACATAAGCACCTATGAAAAAGTGTTACAAGGAGTTTTACTGATTGAGGTTGTTCATAAAACAAGTGGGAGGAACAAAAATTAAAAGCAACTCCTACATAACTTCACCTTAAGACTTTAGTGCTCTGCAAGGCATCAAATAAACACAATATTTTTGTGTGTCAAGGACCCTGAGCTTTCCAAAGAGAACAGGAGCTCTCCTAATTCTTACATCACTTTCACAATTGCTGAATAAATATTTCCTGATACACTTAGTCCAGTATTTTGGTTTTACCTTTTCCCTTTCCTTTCAGAAGGAAAAGAGAGATGAAGAAAAAATTCACTTAAATGCTCACCTGAAATAGTAATTAAATATTTTTGAGGAAAAAATGCTGCATGTAGCATTTCTGTAACAAAGGACCCTCTGATTATCTCAGTACTTTACACAAGGCTTCCATTCCCAGAGGTATTCTGCATTTAATCCAATACTGGGCTAATAAGCACTTCTTCACAGGAGGACAGGTTCCCTAATACTTAACAAATATAGCACATCCTTTCAGTGCAATATGAAATAGGATAAAAATTCCCATGGTAGCTAATTAACTTAAAAAGGGCAATATAAGCAACCAACAAGAGATCAATTCATGGATTTAAATACAATATTGACACTAATAAATGATACAAATTAAATGAAACAAATTAATAAATGATACAAATTTAGAATATAGTCTGGAAATTATGTTGGCATTTTAAATTTACAAACTAATTACAGAGGAAGATAGCAACTTCATTAAGTATTTATAAAAGTAGTAAATACCTGAAGTACTCACAGCAGTGGAATAAGGGTTATGAGCTCCTGTATTTTCAGCCCAGCAGCCACAACCATAAAGAGCTGCCTAAGGAAAGAAGCATATTGTTAATAAATTTTAAGTGTGTGAGATTTTTGCTATATTCCCTTTCCTTAAAAACTGAAAATACAAAAACAACCTCAAACCAACAGTAATAACAAAAAAAAAAAAAAAGAAATCCAAGAAAAATCCAAGTATTAATACAAAAGATGAATAAGAATATCATAAGCATATTGTCATTCCACTCCATTTTGCTACATCCTTTTACTATTCTTGAGATCTGAGTGTTTGTCATAGATACAGAATTCTAGCCTAGCTTAACAGAAAATGAGGGTAAAGATATAACCCTGCTCATATAAAGTCTCTTTCACTCTGCTATTCAAAAAACAAACAAAAAAAATCTTAACTACATTTCAAAAGAGAACTGCTTTTTGGACAGTGGAAAATGTCAACAAAAAATACAGCTGTACAGCAATGGAGTACAAAATTTCTGCTGCACCTCAAAATCCCCTAACAACAATAAGGTGACACAGCATAAATATATTATTATTATAACATTAATAATAAATAGAACTATACATAATTTATAATCATAATTATATATAACACATCATAAATACCTGATAGGTTCTTTTACTACTTTTGTCACTTTCTCCAATTCACAAGATCATTTAAAAATTAATTAGGACCGCTTCCCTAAATATTGAGAGAAATCTTTTTTCAAGGCTCTAAGCATTTAAGAGTCCATTTAAGGCCAAGAAATTAACTTACTGATATCTCTGTCAAAAGGTAACTAACTACAGAACATCTTCCCTATCACTGGTTTATTACACTGATGGAGAACACTAAAAACATTTGCACATCCAAGCAGTGAAAATGTCTTCAGCATTTAACAGGAAGGAAGGGAGAACAGAAATTTGCTGTCACAGCTCTTGCTTTACACTACACCTGTTTGTGACACTGAACAATCATTCCCAACCAAAAAAAAGAATCTGAAAATGTACAATGATCACCTGACCAACTCTTCCAGGGTGCTTCAGTGCTAAACCTCCACTGGAGACAGCAGCAGCCACATTTCCTTCTTGGTCAACAACAACTGCACCAACTGTATCCAAGGTTCCTGAGTCATTCTCCTGCAGGACACAAAAACAGAAAAAAAAATCCTAGCAAAAATAGTATATTAAAGTCAGATCATACTCCTTAGGAGTGTGCAAGTGAGAGCCTAGCAACCAAATGGATTTGTTATCATGCACCTGTACCCACTGCCAAAAATCTTCCCAAAATGCTGCTCTGCCTCAGACAGGACCTTAATAAAACTTCTCCAGTAGCAAGAAGGTAATAAACATCTCAGAATTAATCTAATGCTTAGATCACCTGCTTTTACTCACAGAAGTGCCAGAAGTCATTTTTTCTTAGTGGTTGCCACTTGACCACTAAGAAATGATTCAGCAACTGATGCCACATCAAAAGGCCTTTCCTAAAAGGCCTGAAAAAGCATTTCCAGAGGCTCTGACCTTTGAAGATGTGTAATTTTTAAAAAATGAAATTTAAAAAAAAAAACAAAACAACAACCAACCCCCCCCAAAAAAAAAAAAAAACCCCAAACCTACAAAGCACCACCAGAAAAAACCAAGCAGCTGTTTAGGATGTAAAGAGAAAATACTGATATTCTGAGCAAAACAATAAATAGAAGCCTCAAGAAAAAATCTCCCCTAGGACAGATTCCTTCTGCCAGACTTGTTCTCAGCTCAGGAATCTTTACTGAGTAAAGCAATTTTACCCTTTGTTCCTGTAACTAAAGCATAACTAAAAGTGTCCTTACTTCCATGACTTCTGAGGTAGATTTACTCCCCCCAGGAGCAGGGGTCTTCTTTTACATCCCTCCCCCATTCCTTAATGCACCACACTAAGTCTCTCTTAGAGAAGGAACAGTTTTCCCCTCTCTGCCCAGGCATGGCCCAGGTGCCCCTCTCTGCAGAACCCAGGGCAAGGCACTCAGCCCTCATGCTCCACCACACACACAGCATGCAGTGTACAGAAAATAAACCAAATAAACAGAATTGATCCATCATCCATCACCTACTCCAGAGATGCACACTGGTGCTGCACAAGCCTCAAGCCTCTTACACAGACTTATCCAGTGAAATAATGCCAAAGGTTATTAAGTTTTTCATATAAATGTGAATTTTCTGGACTAGAATTCAGAGGGAGGAATTAAGAAAAAAAAAACCACCATTCAGCTTCAAATTATCAAGTTCCCATCATCAATTAAAATTCCCTTGGGCATACTATGTCACTTCTCAAGTATGGTTTCTAGTACTGCAATGCTGATGATACTCTGGCCACACTTAATTTAAGAGAAAACACTTGGGTTAATTCTGTGTCAGTCTCAAAAGGAAAAATATGCTGCCATGTTCTACAGTACTTTTCAAGCAAGTGGAACTCCTAGGCAGGAGTTTCATCCTTGGCTTTCACCCAGAGAAACAGGAAGTTTCTTCTCTGCACCTACACCTAGATCTTCCCTGACAAGTTCTGCACTCAAATGCTGGCACTGACCACACTCAGTATTAAAACAAATTAATGTCCCAACAATAAAGCAGAGTAACTGCTTAAAGACAGACAGGGGTGAGAAGCTAGAGATCCACAGTTTCAACTGGTACTGGGAAGAAGGGTAAGCTGAAAAACAGAGGAAGGAAGGATCAGGGAGGGTAGGAAAAGTAGAAACAAAAGGATTATGGGAGCAAAGGGGATAAGAAAAGAGCCAGCGCCCTTCCAAGTTCTAAAGATGAAAGAATATTAAGGAACCCTTTTTTAACATCTCATGTGCAAATGTATTTTCCAGCTCCCAGGACTCCCAGACACAGCCTGAGCTAAAACAAACCCAGTTCAAACAATACCACTCAGGGGATTGAGAAGACCTTAAGCAGCAGAGCAGGCTGCTCATGGGATGTGCAGATTCCCATCCTTGGAGGTTTCCAAGACCAGACCAGATAAAGCTCTTCCCAACATGAATTCTCTCATGATTTCTCTGTACAGAAGAACTACTATGATACAGGTGCTGCTATCTACCCCCCTGTCCTCCCTTATCAAAGAATTTGATAATAATATACATATAATTGATTATATATATATATATATATAATGTATAAAAATATATAATATATAAAGTCTAATATATATCAAATATGTATTTGATAATTATATATATATATAATTTCCTCTTTTATCAAAGGAAATTATACCCACAACAAAAAACTTAATTAATAAAAGCCACAGATATAAAAATCTAGCCTATCAAAGTTAGTTTGAGGCTGGACATCTTTTCTAAGGGAAGCATTGCTAAGGGAAGGTTGAGGTGGCCCACACATCCTTCTGAAGGAAATCTCTATCTCTGAAGCAAGGGAATTCTGTACTTTTCTTCTCAGTAAGACAGGTATGGGGCAGGGGAAAGCAGGACTGGTTTGTGATTTAAAAAAAAGTCACTGATACATAGGTGATGCTGTATTTTCCTTATTCAGTAAACTGAAAATCAGCAATGTTCTATTCCACATCCAATGGGAAAAAAAACATTGTCAGCATCTTCTACATTTGTGAACTGTACTGGCAACCCTGATTTCTGGACCAGTAAATAAAGAGCTCATCAGAATTTAACAAAGGAACTTTTTGTACATCTCCCTATAGGAAAGCATCGTGTGCCTGAGGAGTCACTGCAAGACTGCACCTGCTGAGAAGCCTTTCAGTGTCACACATTTCATCTCTCCAAATCACAGCAATGTTGAAAAGCAGAGGATCCTGTCAAGCTAGTGTCAGGACAATAAGAACATATTTAGAAAATATTAGAAAGTATGATTTAGAAAGTATGATAAATACTACAATTCACAAAGCCTAAAATAAGACCAAACTTTATACAGGTCCAATAGGGACTAAGCAAGATCCAGCTGGTTTGTCCTTACCTTTCTATTGATTGATTTACTTAGCTACTTACATTTTAAAATTTTGCAGGTTCTAAAGGAAACTTGGTGAAATCTGTTACCAAATTCTGTATCTGAGTTCAGTTACTAAATTATACTTGTCCACTGCAAAAGCAGTTTGGGGTTTTAACAATGCAGTATTGCAACCTAAATATAATCTATTATGTAGTTAATATTTTGCATGGAAAAAACTGAAAGTCAGTGTTATAAATCAGACCTCACATTACTTAATTTGCACCTTGCAGCATGAAAGGAAATTAATGTATTAAACCATGGTCCAAATACTCAGATTTTGCTAAGAACATGCACACAAAACTGAAAGATGCTCACCTGCACAAATGCAGAGTTCTAGCAAGCATTTTTAAAAACCCTTCTCCCCTCCTGCACATAAAAAAATTGTAAATATTCATCACTACAAACCCCTAAGGAAGCAATTAGCAGATTAGGAGAGCTCTACCCAGTGCCCACTGAAAGATTCTACACACAGGGTCTTTTCCCTCTCCACTTGAGACAGTTTTGAAATGCCATGGAAAGTAATTGCCATTAAATCTCATCTTTGAGTATAACTGACAAAAGACAAAATTCATCAGATTGAAGCAACTAACATTTACATGCTATTACCCAACTATGTAATTATACAAAGCCTGATGAACAATCCCAGCCTTCCCAGTTTAACAGTTGTTTGGGGTGTAAAAAAGAACATTTTGTTTGATCCTCATGTGCAAGATGAGGAAATTATTCTATACTCTATTTCCACAGATAAAACCCAAACAAAACACCAAAACTTAACTAGAATGGGTGAAATTTAGGTTTCTTTTCCCCTATTAAATGGATTTTGAAGCATACTTTTGAAAACTGTAAGGTTTTATTATCAAAGACCATTTGCACACAAATGTGAGGTAGAACATTTATTTCTTTTTTAAGGAAATTTCCAAACTGCAAGACTAAATAAGACAGACACTAGGATTGCCATAGTTGACTGCTACACTTACAATTACCTGCACATAGACAAAAATATTTTCTAAATCTGTTCAGTCTTAATACAGTAACAGAAGCACATGGAACTGTTGATTCCATGCATATAATTCCAACTGGTGTATACATATGTCAGTACCTATGTTGAACTAAGTAAAACCCGAGCCAGTTTTAATAAAACTCAACTTAAATAATGTTATTTATAGAGTTAAATAACTAGGTTATAAAATACTAACTTAAAAATACCAATTTCTTCCAAAAAATCACGTGTACTAAGGATTCTTAGTGTCACTTATTCAAACCAAGAAGAGGACAACTTTTTACATATTTGCTGAGATCACTTGTAAAAGTGATCTAAATTTTAAATCTGTATTTTTATTTTTAAACCTGTATTTTTCTTTCCAATAGCAAAAGACAAAGTAAAATTAGGGCTTCTAGCCAAACTCTGCTAAGCTATTTTCAACAACAATTTCCTCTGGTGAAAGACAGACTAACAGTAAGCAGACAAATATTTACTTCTGATATTTACTGGTGCTTGAGGGGAGAATTTGAGAATGGCATCTGGCTGAATGAACACATCATAGACACCCCCCATGAGAATATTTAGTTAATTTTTGTTTGTGTGTGAATTATTTCTTAGCTATGTAAATCAGTAAGATTCTGCAACTTGAAAAAGACAAAAATTTTACACCTTCAAAATTTGGTGAAGTTATTTATGGATCGTCCTGTATGCAAATGCATAACCCTCTGCAAATGCTACACTGGGTGAACAAAGAAAAACACAGAAAAAACTTCATTTAGCAGGAAATAAAACTCCTGTAGTAAGTTACACTGCCAAGTTTTTCCAGACAAACTTTGACAAATTTAAACAGCCTCATTCTTTTTAAGGTTGGCATCATCACATTTTTATTGAAAACTAATTTTTAAACCTGTATTTTTCTTTTTAGCTGGTGATATTATCAGTAGCTCAAACTTCCAAGTAATTTCAGTCCGTTTTGGTCACAATACTGTCTTCACACTGGCCTATTAGTTCTGATCCCATTCAACTCCACCTTTGTTAACATCCTTTCTACCTTGCTCTGCCCACAGCCTGCAGCACTGGCAGAGGCACACAGGCTCAGCTGCAGCACAGAGTTGAAGTGGGTGAGTCAAACCAGAAAATAAACCAGCTCTGAAGTCCTTCAGGGGAAAAAAACCTTCCTGAAAGGAATGGTCTGCAGCTCCAGAGAAGCACAGCTGATAAAAAAGTGACAGGAATATTTATCAATTAAAGTAACTTTGACAAGAAGATTAACTTCTTATTACTCAAGTATTTAAATGGTTTGAAGCAGTTATTTTTAAACCTTTTATGAGAGCACAGCTTTGACAGCGCGAGTTTTAGGGCAACAAATCACATGCCTCATCTTAGCTAAATGACTTTTTTCTACCAGTTTGGGGAGATATATTCTACTTTTCTACTTTTCTTTTTTTTTTTTTTAGAATTTGATTTTTCATTTCTATTTAATTTGGAAAAACTACTGAGAAAACCTTACTTCCTGTAAGATTGCAATTATCCTACACTCTGTGGATAGCAGGAGAATCCCATATTGAGAGCATGGGCTGGTTTTCATCCCTGCTCCATGGACAGGATGTGCCCAGACAGCTGACAAAACCAGTTGTTACTGGATTACTCCCCAGGGAGAAGAGCTCTATCTCATCACCTCCTTTACCTACCACCACTGGGAATTATCCCACAAGCTCTGCACAGGACTCTGGAGCCCTTGAAATTTCAAACTGCAGGTTGGTAAGCTCATGCATTGGCTTCAAGCATTGACTTGCCCCTTATTACATGAACAGCAAAACTGCACAGGGACCCCTCCTCTCCCCAGGAACACTTTCACACTCCCAGGTTCACAAGGAGGGAACTGAAATCCTGTGAACAGGAAAAGTTCCAAAATGAACAACTAACTTCCATGGCTCCCCCATCCGTAATTTCTTCACAAATCTTAAATCCTCGAAAAATTTTAAAAAATTAAAATTAGCACCCTGCTAGAGAAAACATCTAAGAACACAGATGCAAATTGCCTAATTTATCACTGTTTGCCTTTGCAGACTACAGAGAATACACTTTTGCTAACAATTCTCTGGGATTTATACCTTATTTAGATCAATATATGTAACTATGCAGGAGTCAGACAGCAATGCCCAACCCACAGGCCTACAGACCCCAAATAAAGCACAGGAATTTAATTTAATGACCCATACTTTGATACTCAACATCAAACACAAATACTGTGAATGACATTCTCACAGGTTACCAAAGCTCTACACTTAAACTAAGAATGAGGGGAACAGGGAATCTCTGGTAGTTTTGTAGCACAGGTAATATGGGCCAGGTCAATGCCAGATGCATTCACAGATGCACATGTTACCTACCTGATATTTCAAATTTCACCAATTCCAGTTCCATAATGCAGTGTGCTCAGGAGACACTAAAAAGTGGGAAACAGTGACAGAGATCCCAAGCTAAAGAAAATGTTTTTGGTAAATAATTATCTGTTCGTATTTACATCTGTCATATTTCCAGTTCAAAATGAGCAAAATATTTTTCTTAGCACCAGCAAGATATAAAGTGATGGTTTGGTTTTCAAATAGCAAGGCAGAAAGTTTTAACTGCACTAAGGTTTCATTATATCATCTAAACATTAGGATGGACAAGGAGAACAGGCTTCTGAGGCTCCATCAGTCTTATCATATAAGATATGAAGTTTATTAGCAGTCAGCTGTAAGTTTAGGACGACACAAGAATTTGAAACAAGAGCTAACCTTTTCATTTGATTGTCTTCTTTTCTTTAGTTGAATGAGATCTGTTTCCACCTTTTCGGCCAACTCCAGCTTCCTCTTGTTCCTCTTAAAAGCTGCTAAACTAAACCCTATAAAAATAGTTCAAAAGCATGTAACTAAGTAAAATTTACTTATTTGAAGCAAATATTGAAAAGTTGACATTTTGAAGGACACATCCCCCACTTCTTTACTGATGCAAAAATGCATCAATAAAAAGCCAAAAACTAAGGATTCAAGTTTCAGTACAAGTTGTTCACATCTTTTCCTAAGTTTAAAAGTTCTACTATTGCTCAGCAACGGTGATGAGTAAAATATCTGGTAGAAACACAGCATGAACACAGGGAAGCTGGTCTAAATATCTTTGGCAATGAAGCAGCACTGCACAGAAGAGAACAGAGTAAGTGGCTTGTGTTAAAATTGTTTTTGACTGCTGACAAGTAAATAGATACCATGTGAGCTCATTCTGATAGCCATGAAATTAGGTTACTATTTTATTACCTTAATCACATATCTGTATGTTTACCCATATATTTAAAGCCACACACAAGTCTAGCAGTAGTTTATGCTCCATAATCCAGCACAGTCTAAAGACCACCTAGGTCTCAAGAAGACAAACATCTACTTTCCACATCTAAGCCCTACATTCAGAAAGGAAGTGCTCCCTAAAGTTGACTAAAAAATAAAATTGTTATGCTTAAGAGACCAAAATTACATGTTCCCATTTTAGAAGTTTCATTTCATGAACAAATTGCAGATATTGACATATTTAGTTTAAATTAGTTTTGACTCAATATCATCCCCAGGCTGTTTTAACATCCTCTGTAAAATGTAAAGAAGTGTGGAGAAAATGGCTTTTGTCACTTGTTTAACCACACCAAATCAAGCTATTGGGAGAACAGAGCAATTTGAATCTTTTACTTATACAAGTAAGTCACAAATTCAATGGAAACTAAAAAGCACAGATTTTTCTATAAACTTCATTTTAAATGAAATTCTGAACCTAGTTACATCACTATTATTCAGAAGACTGGAATGTTACATGAAGTCTAGTAATAAACTCAATATTACAGAGCCAATGGAACCCAGAGCTTTCATTTACAATTCCCACAAAGTACACAGACAGTGAGCATTTTACTTTGAAACTTCTCCACACAGGTGTCTAATTCACCTAGTGAACTCTCTTTTAATCATGTTTTTAAGTATATAAAACTGGACCTTAATGTACACACAGTTAGCTACAGTTAGTTCAAGGATGTAACTCAAAAAGTAGAGAGAAAGCTGGCATTTCTCCCCAAAAACCTAATGAATAGCAATTCTTTAAAAATGTAAACCCATATTAATCAGCCATCACCAAGAAAGGAATTCATGCTACTACACAGAGCTGATTACTGCAGACAACACATTTCTATGTTTGAAATGAGGATGAAGAGGTAAAACCTGAATACTTGATAAGAGGGAGCAGAAAAAGAATCATTTTAGTCAAGTACTGTCAGTGGGAAGAAACAAACTAAAAATCTCTCAAAGATCAAGAACTTTGTAAACAGAAGTGCCCCAAAATAAACTAAGCCAGCACATTGTTTTTAAGAGAATTTTTAAAGAGGAGAACTTTTAAGTGGACACAAGTTCACCAAGCACAGCAAATACCTATGGGCAGAGCCATTTGGGGTGAGTAAGAATGGTGCTGGCCTTGGTATTCCTCAAAAGCAGGATAAATATGCCTAAAGCTGTTACCTGCTGCTGCCACTGCCTCCTGTCAAGCTGGGAAAAACATGGACCTAGAGAGGCCAAAGGGTGCAGGAGCGCACACATGCAAACCTGAACAGGTTCCTTGTACTTCAGAGCCCAATTCCAGCAGTGTCCTGAAGCCTTCTGCAGTATTTGCATCTTCACCAGCTCAAACACATGCACAAAGACCACATCAAATGCACACAAGACATGGACTAGCTCCAAGCTGCCCTGCCAGCTGCACAGAGTGCTGCTATATGCCCTCTCAGCATCTCTTTGCTAGCATATTTATCCTGCTATTTTTCCAAGCTGCCCTGCCAGCTGCACAGAGTGCTGCTATATGCCCTCTCAGCATCTCTTTGCTACCTTGGTAGCATATTTATCCTGCTATTTTTCCACAGGACACAAAATGTTTCATTCACTTAAGACTGCAATCCCTAGCTAAGCAATTAATTTTCAGAGGTTGCCCTGTGCCTTAAGATAGTTTGTCTTTTCAAAACAGGAAAAAACCTGAATACTTACTCTGAGTGATCTGCTAACAGTAACTTCTTATCTGCACTGTTAATTCTAAGTGGTATCAGTAAGTTGAGAAATATGGGGTAGAAAAAGCATCATTATGAACAAAGTACACATCTCTTGGGCCATGTCAGACAGACAGGTGAAGACACCTTTCTAGCAGCACTTAATGATGTAGGTTGGAAGAGATATTAGGAGGTTGTGGAGTCCAACCTCCAAAAAAACTCAAATCCAATTTAAAAGGATTTGTCAGATTCTGAGTATTTTCAACAATGGAGATTTCACAACTCCTCTAGGCCTCTACATCAATATTTGATCAACCTCAGGTTTAAATAAATAAGGTATTAATTCATAGTCTTCAGTTTTGTTCAGTTTACCATGAAACATCACACCTTTCATACATGTGAGGGAACATCAGTCTAGTCAGACATTCCCTAGAAGGGAAATTCTTGTGCTCAGGGCTACTGAACTTCAGAATAGTTATTGGGATTAATTTTTACATGAAAGGTGAAAGTTTTGTTTTAGCAAGGACTTATGAATAACAGTATTTCATTATTTAAGGAAAATAATTACAAGCAGTAATTATCAATTCCTCTTAGCAGGATAGGGAAGCTAATACCTCCAAAGTGACCAAATTACCATGAAAGAAAGGAACAGGTTACAACTCAAAATCTGGCAATTTTTTCCTCTGTTAGTTTTAGGTCCGACTTCAGTTAAAAAAATGTCTTGACTCTTACTTGAATATTAAATTTGGTTTCTTTCTCCCCAGAATAAGTGAATAAAGACTAAAGCAAGTGACAGGCTGCCTGCCCTCAGTTTATTCCTGCCTTTGTGATGTTCTATCTATGTAAAACCACTATAAATGCCATAAAATGAACAGTACTCTCATTGCTTCATCTTGGTCTACTAGTGACAAAAGAAACTGAGGAACACAACCAAGCTCCAAACTACACACATGAAAGAAGAAATTAGAGTTTCCTGAAAACACCATCTAAGTTTGGTCCTTGACAAAGAACACACTAAAACATCAAATTAAAACATTCCATGAACTAAAATACAATCCAGGATTCAAACACGCTTGGTTAACAACACACACACAACATGGAAAAACAACCCACAGAAAATTTATTTTGCAAATAAGTGCTACAGACAGAAAGAAAACACCTACACACAATCTGAGTTCATAATTCACATTAAATCTAAAACAAAACCTCAACTTTGTGGTGCAAGGATACTACAAAATTTCATTTGTCCTTAATGACAGTGTAAAAACCACTCTCACCTTCTCCAACCAGACAGTGCATTCCAAGCTTGAGAAAAGGAAAGGGTCACAACACAGTGATGAAGACAGGAATGTTTTCCTAAAACAAATGCAATATAGCTACATCAGCCTGATGTTACCTGGGTCAAGGAGGAAGAGAAGAGCAAGAGAAGCAAAGCTTACTGACTGGGGAGAAGGCTAGGAAGAAGGGTAAGGGAGCAAATTCTTGCTTGAAGAAGTTTTGGTGGTGGTTGCTGTTGGTACTGTTGTTGAAATCTATGGAAATGTATTTAGTAAAATGTTCTTTGATTTTGCTCAAGAACTTAAAAGTAATTCAAAAAATACCTTCAGATAAAATCCCTGGCAATTATTACCCTACCCAGTAACAGCATGTGCACTCCACATCATGATTAGAAGAACTGAGAATTGAGTCTTGGGAATACAACCAGCCCATCTCCTCTGCTCCCTCATTTATGCACCTACTGGCATAAATAAAACTGCCTCTGAGCTGCTGGGAGAGGAAGGAAAAAAAAAGAAAAAAAGTCCCACAGCTTACAAAATTACTGTTCCTGTTTAAAAGTCATTTTCTCAGGCCTCATCCAGACTAAAGACTCAATAAATGACAACTGTAGCACATCAGAACCAAAGCATAATAAATAAATCCAACCTCAATCAGTATTTACCACACATCCCTGCCTCTTCTGGAACAAATAATCTTCAAGGACCTGGAAACACCTTCCTAATCATCCACATTCTCCCTTCAGCCCCCAAGGTACCAACATGGGCAGCCCACATGAACTCTGCAGTTTGGTGCAACTGTGCCAGATAGGGGAAGCTCTGGTGGAATATTTGGTCACAGCAGAGCTAAGTGTGCCTGAGACAAGGTTCAGTGGGGGTTTGCCTGGGAAAAGGTTCAGTGGCTAAGCACAGAACAGTAGAAGAAGCTCCTGCTCAACACCACAGGCCTGCAGGAGAGGTTGGCATTAGTGGATGTGGTATCAGAACATGCACTTGATAATATTTATCTGTAAATGCAGCAGAAAAGTCTCACAGACTCATCTTGTTCAAAGCTAAGACTGCTGTGGATGTTCAAAAGGTTCTGATGTTCCTGGATACCTTGCTGAGAAAAGGCCACAGGATCTCACAAATTACATAATTAATTAGCCCAAGATTCATCTCCTAAACTTTTACTGTGAGACAATAAATACACCTTTTTTACATGCTTTTTTCATCATTATCACCACCTAACAAGGAGATGAGAAAGTAATTTTCAGCAAGCAGGTCAGTGGAAGAGATTATTAGTCTCTGACTAATGATAAAGAGATTCATCTGTGCCACTTGTTTGCCACAAAGCTTCCACATCCTTTACTCACCTCCTGTACTCTGATCATTCCCTTAACCCCTTTAACCATTATACTATGTACAGGTAAAAATTTCATCAAAAACCTTGACAGTTCTATTAGATAATGATACAATGACTAAGTAAATGAAACACAACTGTATTTCCCATTCTACACAGCTCTTCAGAAGTTTCTCTCAGTCACCTTTCACAGCCCATGAGAAATGATTCAGAGAGCACAGGCATAT